CCCCAAAGTGCTTTACACTACATTCAGTCATCCACCCATTCACACACACATTCACACACTAGTGATGGAAAGCTACATTGTAGCCACAGCTGCCCTGGGGTGCACTGACAGAGGCGAGGTGACCCCTAAAAGGAAGCCAAAACAAGACTAAATCAATTAAACATCTACTGATCAAACTTGCAAATGTATCATCTGTAATATGTTACTTTGAATTTTATATTAACAACACTCCCTATGCCGCTTTGATAAAGCTGCGATATGGGCAACAAAACACTGGAAAACCTGTCTTTCACTCATAATTACAGAAAGAGTTTACCACTCAGTGACAGGCTATGTGAGCAAATACTTGAACAATTTAAAAATGATGCTTTTCAACATATAAATGCAAAGAATTTGGGGGTTATTTTCTATTCATACTGCATAGTGGGTGATGTATCTTCATACTGTAAATAACACATATCATTAAATAATCCAGAGAATCTAAAGCAGCCTTTAACTGCAAGGGGCAACACCAGAAAAAGAAAATGCACATCACAACACTAAAAACCACTGACAGTGAACATTCATCATCAGTTCAGCAAATGCAGCTCATGCAATAAAAAAAAATATACAAAAATGCCACAACTTTCATTGAGCCCGAGCTCATTAAAGATAGTCTCAGTCAAAGTGAAGAACTGTCTCTTGGTCCAACCAATCCAAGTAATGTACACCAAGCCTGTGGTTTGAGGAGGCAAGAGAATTTCCAGCTTGTTAAGAGCTGAACCTACACCCACATTAAATATATATATGTGTGTGTGTGTGTGTGTGTTTTTAAATAAATATGAAGTCATGTCAGCTTGGATGTCACCCGGATTAACAGGGTCCAGATGTTGAGGAATCAGGATGCCCTGATGAGAAGTGGGCTACTGGAACAAGAAGGCATCAGTGGGCAAGAGATGAAATTTTTATATATGAATGTTTTTGAAGAATCATGTGCAGAGAATGCCAAACTATAATCTGCACACTCATCAGAATTCTTCCATAGCAAAAGAGTCTAGGTGCAAATGTGGCCTGTCTGCAATGCAGGCCTGCCACAATAGCAAATGAAAAATGTAATGAATGGTCTCTTCTTTTATACATTAATTTTTTACACAACATCACACGGTGTTGTGTAAAAAAAAAAAAAGTCTGGAGCCAATCTTTATTTTGTTATATTCTTGCTTTCAAAGAACTAGATGTATAATTCTTGAAGTGTAACAACAAGATGATTCCCCAAATCCTATTAACTTAAGATTTGGCATATCTGCTGTGCAGTAGTCCTTAAAAAATCTTAAGGACACTGATGATCGACATCCAAAAGTCATGCCCTTAAAGGCCTGGGCCTTTAGCTGATCCATCTACTGTTTACCAAAGCCTCAAATCATCATCCATAAATTAAAGGTCAGGAGAGAGATACGGTGAGTGTCAACAACCCTCTGCAGAATGCGGTGGAGGCTTTATCGTGGGTTTCTGGTTGCATTCCAGCCAGTAGTTTAGTTGATCTTGTTAAAATTGATGGAAATATGAACGCATAAAAGTGCCATCAGAGTTTGAGCCCCTATGTAATACAATCTGATTGTCAAAAATTTCAATTTTCATCATACCAATGATAGCAAACACTCAGAAACAGCTCAGACTTTAACATTATTGAAGCAGTGTGGGATCAACAAAAGTAAGCCAACATCCAAAGAAGAGCTTTGAATGCCCTTCAAGAAGCCCAGACTACTTAAATAAACCAAAAGCACCTAATAACAGAGCAAGAAATAAAGGGGGACTCAAAACATTTGCTCTGTATTGTATATATTTTTTAGTAAATCAGAATAGGTTAGCTTGGTTGCAGATCCCAAACTTGCAGGGCTGTAGGTAAGTAGACACGCGCACACACTTAGGGTTGCTATCACCCCCGTCTCCCTCTCACCTCTCTCCCCCATTCAGAGACATGCGCCTCTGTCTTTCTTTCTCTGCTGTACGTGATAAATTCCACTGCGACCTCTGGTCATTCCCTTTGTTTTCTACCTTTATTAAGTAAGACCAGCATTCCTAGCATTCAGGCCGCATCCTCAATGGCTTCATGAAAGCGCATAGAGACGCCGTCTCCTGATTGACTTTCCAATGGACACATCCTGTGCACCTTTCAGAGGTCGTTTTCCTCTTCCTTGTCCCTGCAGCACACGGTCATGATCAGAGCTCTCCTTTGAGAGTAGTCCGGATACCTGCCGCAGTGTTTGCTTGGCCAGCTGGAAATGTGTGTTTGTGTGTGCGAGAGAGAGGAAGATGAGAGGCAAGTGAAGACCAGGTGGTCACCAAGGTCTTAAGGGAAAACTTTATAACAGGAGAGGACTGGCTCACAGCTTTCTGCATCCTGTTGTGTCTACAAGCTTCAGCAACACCACCATTTCCCCTTTTGAACTCGTAAGCCTGGTCAAAGTCCCCTTTTTAGGTGCGCTTGTTGTTGTCCAGGATTCCTCACAATATGACTTTGTATGTTGTTTTATACACTGTAAAGAAGACAGTATGTTTTTTAAGTATTACTACAGACTGCAGGGCAATGGTAACACAATCACCAGTAATAACTCAAATTGTTTTTTATTATAGGCTATTTTAATCTTTCATTTTTACATATACCACATTATAGAAATACATGTAACATGTGTATATCTTAATGAAAAAATAGAAAAGAAATTGAACATTTTTGTGCTTTAAATGTAACGGTAAATAGATTACCAGAAATGACCGTGTGAAGTTCAAAGCGGTCAGCAACTGTAATTTAAAAGCTCCATCAACGAACATGAAAATGAAGTTCCACCAGTTTGTCCACAGTGATCTCTGCAGTTATTTAATGGCACAATGTATAAAGAAGTCATTAACTCTTGGTTCTAATACGGCAGCACTTAAGAGGGGAAAAAAGGGGGAGTGTAAAGTGCGTGTTTGACCAAGTGTAGGCCTTAAAGGTTAGAAGGTGGTTAATATTTCTTGTATACAGCACCTCTGAGTTGTAGACAGGCCTGCATCCATATCTGTAAATGTTAAGTATAGAATGGAAACAAGACTTATACGTTGTACATATAGAGATATTTTTTAAAGTTGCTTCACACAGAATCATTTCTGTGTAACTTTAAAACTTTAGGTTCTTATTGCTGGATTAGGATTAAAGTTAAGACATCTTTGAGACTGATGGCCAAATGAGTTGAAAGTGTATTGTTTCTCTTTTGTTTTGGCTTTTTTTGGGGGTTTTTTAGTTTGTTTTTTTGAAATTTGAAAATAAACAATCAGACACAGGCCCATCTAGTTATGCTGCTTTACTACAGAGCATCAATAGCCTTGGAGACTTGGCCGAAGACATCATCCACTGGCAGCTCTGAGTCAACCTGGGCAAAATAAGATGACAATGGATGCGTTAGAATATATGTTGACATTTCACATGAGATTCAAATGTTGTTTTTCCGCTGTCGCAGCAGTCGCACACACCTTCCTGACAATACCACGGCTCTCATAAAAGGCAATCACTGGCTCGGTTGCTTTGTAATACAGGTCCAGGCGCTTCTTGATGGTCTCCTCGTTGTCATCAGAGCGGCCGCTGGTCTCACCGCGTTTCAAAAGCCTCTTGGCCATAGTCTCTGCTTTTGCATCGACGTACAGCAGCAAGCAGGGTTTGCCGATCTGGGATCAAAGACAGTTTGTTCATTTAAGCTTCCGTCTTTCTTTCTTTTTTTTTAAATCATTGCTGCAAAGATGAATTAAGCCCATACCTTCTTCTCAAACTCCTCCCCCTGCTTCACCTCACGGGGATAGCCATCAATAAGGAAACCCTTGGAGACATCAGCCTTGGCAATCATGGCTTCCTTAATCATGTCTAAGACTGTGTCCTGCAGGTAGCCCCAAAACATTATGATCAATCTTCACTATGATATGGCACTGACAAAAAAAGCTGTCTTAGAAGAGCTGACACTTGTATTTTGTCTTTTCATTTAGTATTGGACAAAAAAACCAAGAAACCTTTTGTTTTCTTTTAAATTATGCATACTCGCAATTATTTCAGTTATAGTGCCCTCTCTTACCAAAGGTACCAGCTCTCCCTTCTGCATGATGGCCTGGAGATGCTTGCCCCTCTCAGAGCCAGAAGCCACCTCAGCACGGAGCAGATCCCCAGATGACAGGTGAGTGTAGCCGTACTTTGCCACTATCTTCTCACACTGGGTGCCCTTTCCAGAGCCAGGCCCACCTTTAAAAGAAGATTTAAAAAAAACAAAAACAGTCATGTGGCATGAAGGCAAATAAAAGCTAAATGTGCTACTGCTAAAGTGCTAAGAGCGGCTCAGGGTACTTACCCACAACAAAAATGATCTTGGCATCTTTGAGTTTGTCTGAAATGAGCAGGCACAGACAAAGTTATACATGCGTGAATCGGGAGGTTTTTCTTGACAGCAAAAGTTCATATCACAAGGAAAACGTTTTTGTAACAAACCGTCTGGATAGTCGGATGTGGAGGAAAGACGCGCACATGATGAAGAAGAAAACACGTCCATTTTTAACTGCTGCAACAGGCTGTTTAGACTGAGCTTGTTTATGTCTAGCTTAGTGCTATTGCTTAAGTAGTGTTGGCATGGCAACTGTTGTTACCCCTTGTTTTGTTGCCAAGTGTTCTCAGGCACTTATAACAAAGTCTGAATTGCAAATCTAACCAATAAGGCCATTTCCATTTGTTCTTAATCATATTCTGCGATCGTGTCTGGGTTTTTCATTAAATGCAATATCACGACAAAGAATCCGAGCGCAATATTTTTAAAATGTACATATTAAAACCTTCCCTGTGTTCTCCAAACTGTCCAAAAGAGGGCAGTAGAGTCCATGGAAACGCAACCGTCTGTCTGCTTTCCTTTACTCCATTAGATTAATAATAAACACGCAAATGAACACGTTCCACCTCATTATCATCAATAAAGAGACATTTATAATAATACTTGAACAGGTGTATTAATTACCTGCCATTGTGTTACGTCTGAGTGTTTTCGGTCAACTAAAAGAGAGAAAAGGACACAGAAAAGTGAATATATTCACAGAAGATACATACAGCAAGCAAGGTCGAGCAAGGCATAGATTTATAGGTAGCCCTTTAATGTATAAATCAATAACTTTGGATTATGTATGCATGATCACCTTAATTACTGTGCCAGATTTAGGCTATAATCACCATAACAGGGTCATTTTCACCTCTACATATTCTTTAAGCAATACAGGACAGTTTTGTGTGCTCAAAAGATCAAATTGCTCTATTTAAAATAGTTTTTTTGTTTAATTTAATTTAATTTTAGAATAATTCCCAGCATAAAATTGAAAATAATTTTGATATTTCAGTATTTATAATTAAAAGTTTAACAGAATTCATATGAAATCTTTAAGAAATTGACACAAAAGCAGAGAAAATTTTGGAGTAGATATCATAACAATTTTATATTTTACACAATATTCCAACTTTTGGGGGGAAATTGGTTTTAGTAAAGCTGGCAATATTACTATTCCTGGTAAAGTCACAACAGTTTGTTTGTGTGTGTGTGTTTTGTATAGTATAATGTAGGAAAAGCCAGTTTTCTGGTGTGTCATTGAGAGTACAGTGTACTGAGCACGACTGAGCAGACACAACAGCACGCAGCATACTGTTAATGGCAACCCTGCTTTTCTTTCCTATAGTGTAAAAGCTGGTATGAGCATATTTTGATTCACAAAACCTTTGGCGTAATAAAATACCTTTTAGTGTTGTATTAATAGACCTGGGCATATCTAAAAAAGACAATAGCCAGTTTGTTTCCTGTTTACACGTCCGTTTTAGCTGACTCAAAGACAGAAGTCTGAAGAATGAGGAAGAAGGCTGGGTTGCTGGCATAAATAGGCACGTTCAAGTAGCTGCATGTCCGCCTGAACATACAGTTGAAAAACAAAATACTTTAAAGCAGTGCCAGTCAAAAATATGCCCACACACTCTGTCAAAGTTGTCATGTATTGTTTCCTAAATTAAATGGATTTCTCTCACACAGCTGCTGTGCACTGAGGTGAGTTTTTGCACTACTTGTGTGCCTTTGGAGTTATGCATACAGCACTTTTTAGCTATTGTGCTTGTTACTATGTTACACACATGAAACAAATTGGCTAGCTGTAGTCTTAAAGTAACCTAAGAAGCTGCTTGTATGTCAAATTAAATGTGTGTCAAAAGGCAAGAGAGTACTTCTCAGGTTACTTGGTGCCTCCAAGTGCCTTGGCATTGGCACTAAAAAGGAAAGGACACACTGTACACCAGAAAAAAAAACATTATATGGTGACAAATATCTTCATAGGTGCAGTGTTGGACATTTTGAGTGTAATCGTGGACCGTGTATTTAAATGAACAACTAAAAAACAGTATTTTAGGATTTATTATTTAATAGGAGTTAAATATTCCTCAAGGATCTCCAGGAACTGTTTTACTGTGGCAAGATTTTATTAGAATGCATTAAAAGAACCACACCTCGAGGAGTAGCATTAAATTAATTGAAACAAACCTGACCTGGTGACATTGCAGCAGTTTGCATTTTATCTAGCCCTTGCAATTCAAATAGTACAGTTTGCATAGTGCCAGGTTGCAAAATACGCTTGCAGAACAGTGCGATATGAGTCATTTTATGGCTAAACTGCCGGACAGAAAAAGTAAGATATACATTAAAGTATACTTAATCTGAAGGAAACTTGTACATTCCTAAACCTAGTGTGTGCTTCTTGGTTTGCATTAAAAGTTTGTCAGCTTGTTCTCTGATTCTCACTTGTACTACGCCTCAGTGCTCCCTGCCGTTGCTTCTCAGGTGTCCAGTTGTATGTCAGCAGCCATTAACCCTGTGGTCTGGGTAAATGTCACTCGGAGGCTGACATCTGAGTCAGCACAGAACCTGTTTTGGGAGTCTCGGTGTGGCCTATTATGGTGCCACCTTCTGTGTCCTGACAGGTCATATGTGTACTAACTCCTGATTGCACAACTCCTAGGTGTGGGCATGGCATTTAACACTGTCTGCAATTATGGAAGGGAAACTACATACTACATTTCCTCGGGAGAGTCTTAACAGAGACTTGGTGTCTAAATTGTCCCTTATATAATCCTGCAATATGAAAATTCAATTCAGTCCAATCAAGTGCTGAAATTATTTAGAGAACCTGATATAGTAGTGGTGTTCTATTCATATATGCAGTTTTGGATTTTTTAATTCTATCTTTACAGATCCTACAATCACCATTACATCCATCCTAAGGAAGATGGGACAGTCCATCTTGCCTGCACCACCCTCATGTCTAATTACCGTTTTTAAACATGCGGCCCTGCTAAAAAAAGACTCAAGCCGATGTGCAGCTGTTAAAGGTTATCTGTCAAGCATTCCTAAAAAGCCCATGGAGATGAAGCTCTGACTGACCGCCCCTGAAAGCAAAACACAGAAAGCGATGATCTAACAGTACATTCTCCCTGTAAATCGTTTGGTTACCAGGGTGCTCTGCGGTTTTAATTGAGAGCGCTGTCCCTTTAAGGGAAATCAGGGGACCCTTTGACGTCAGTGCGGTGGGAGATATTCCGTGTTGTTTGTGAAAGGATGGAGCATGAGACATTCAATTGTTTGCTGTGGGTGTTATTAATGTGTCTGTGCTCCAAATTGCACGTAAAAACAGGAATCAATAGCACTCAGCCCTCATCAGCTGCTAATGATCCTCGCGGGCTCTGAAAGCTTTGCAGCGGACTTTAATGGCTACGCGGGGCTGCATGAAAATGCCCTTTTAAATAGCTGCAGGTTCAGGAGAATGTTGACACGGTATCAAAGTAGAAGAAACCAGAGAAGGAAAAGTCAAAGCAAAACAAGCAAATACAATCAGTGCTAATTATAGTTTTGGGGATAATTATGATGTAATGCCTTAAGTAACATCACTGTGAATGACAGACGAGCCCTGCATGCCTTTACACTGCAAAGAAATCCATGATTGGCTCCTTTGGCACATAAAGAAAAAAAAGAAATGTCAACCATTTTAAAGTGTGACTAAACGGTCCCATGACAGTTCCCATAAGAACCTCTGCCTCTGTCATTCCCACTCTCCATCCCGTCAAACAGCCCTGCCCACTTTGTCTCTCCGATATTCCTCTATTTGTCTCCCTCTCTGACAAACCCAGCCCTGTTCAGAGGCGTTTCCTGCCTGTTTTCCTCTATAGAGCCTTTGTCCTCTGTACTGACCTCTCTTTCGCGTTGTGGCTTTAGATCTCAGCGCAAGGGGCTGCTGTCCCTGGATCCCCGTGTGCGTGTGACTGCACAGTTCCTGCTGCACGCCAGCCCTCCCTCTCCGCTTCTATGCCTTTTTATAGCTCGCCTGAGCCTTCTCAAGTTTGCATTGCATTCTGGGTAGGAGGGAGGAAAGAAGGGATGATGGACAGGAGGAAGTGGGGAAAGCGGAGTGGCATGGTCTGACAGCTGCACATCAACACACCCCCTTAGTAAATTAAAATCTTGTGGTCAGTGTGTCTTTGCAAGTTTGGGGGATATCTGATGAGAAGAAGAGGACATGTGACATGCAAAAATGCTCAGTGTTTGAGGAAGTTTGATTAAGTGATATGTAACCATTAAAAAACACATAGATGCATTATAATGGTGCTTTTTAACCGAATATTGAATCTATAATTATTATACAATAGAATTGCAGTGCTTTGTAATTACACTATGCAGATTAAAACAGCTGTAATTACACCGCAGGTTTATCCGATGTGATGCAGGGAGTGGTGTAAATGCAAATAAGAAACTTTATGTTTGTTATATTTAATTCTTCACATTCCTACCCAGTCTTAGTTGAGCAACCATATTTGAGTGGGCCAACAGAGTCCGATTAGCTTTTTGTGAAATGTTCCACAAAAGATTACAGCTTGAGAAATCCAATCCATTCAAATGATTGCAAGGTTCATACAGCACAGAGGTGTACGTGTAAGCAAAGAGGAACTAATGCATGCAAGCTGTTTTTAAAAAAAACAAGTCCAAACTAAACATCTCAAACATTTTATTAAAAGCATGAGGGGACATATTCATGCCCTTAAAAGGAACATAAATACAAAATATCTTTATATATACAAATTATGGCAAAGACAAATCGAAGCGTACCGTGTAGTGTCTAAAAAAATGTTAATTCACAAAAAACATGAAGAGAATTTTTTTAATCTTAGCTCCCAATGTGTTGTTTATCAAAGAGAGATGGACCAAACATAAAGCACTGTGGTACATGATCCATCCTGATTCACAATTCAGTATGTTTAAGGTTCATGTAAGCACTGAGGTACTACTTTTGATTAAAAAAAATTAAAAATAAAGCAAGCCACTGGGTAAGGTCAAATATTTTCGGTGCCATGATGCAGTCACTTTGTACAATAAATATTTTCAAGCCTTTAGCGAAAAAACCAAAAAGAAAAGTTTGTAAGAAACAGGAAAGTGCACCAGGCCGTACCTGGATTTAATGGTGCAATTTAAAGTTTACCAAACAATATATCATGGTAACAATTAGGGTACAGGTTAGCATAACTTTGTTTGCAGAATTTGTGCAGAACAGAATGTAGGTATAATATAAACCTTCAAATATTCTAGAAGAGGGGAAGCCTGTTTTCCCCGACAGACTGCACTCTTCATTTCACAGAGGTAATACTACATTTTGGCCACCGAGAGGCAACATATAGTAGCAACACAGAGTTAGCATTGCTCACCGTGTTAGAATTTTCAAAATATGACACACGTGTCTCATTTCTTATTTAATATATTTGCTTCTAAGTCTATTTAAGTAACAATAAAGGCAGTAAGTAGCAGTAGTCCATTATCAGAATTTTTCGAACACGAAGGGCAGCAGATAGCACCACTTTAAAAGCCAAGCAGAAACATAAACTGGAGATTGAATATCACACCATCGTACTTTTGAGCCTGTGAAATGTTGCAGATTTTGTTTTGTTTTTTTGCTCAGTAACATTAGCACAGCATGTGAGATGCACTTTTTAAAGGCATAGATTCGCATAAATTGCATTTTCGTGGGAAACCAGACTTAAATCAGTGTTTTAATTTAACCAAATATAATCGCTTCGTGTGGATCGCTTCGAGTGCAGTTACCAATAATGGAGAAGTTCAAATTGACCAAAGCATTTTTTGTCATAACACTGGGGGATAGGGTTTGTAATACTGTAAATAACAGCACATTTCTATGAGCAGTGGGGACCACGAAAATCGAATGATAAAAGCAGCATTGAGCACTTCAGATATATCTGTCTCAAATTTTCATTATCAGGTATGTTTTTAAGATTCTAAGATTCTCTAATGTCAACACTGTTTCTATAAATAAGTCTTTGTGACTTCCACTGTAGCTATCTATATTAAATGTCCATATTATACAATGTGCTTCTAGAAGAAACACATCTGACACCCGTGAATACAATCTTGAGTCAGATTTTTTTTTTTTAATGCTGATTAAGGCATTAGATTAAATATATATTTAATATTTGTAATCATGTCACCCCCACACTTTCATTTTCCTCTTCTCTGCATCACTGAGGTTAAATTCTGCCTGTTTGCCATTATATTTACACACATTTAACATAATACACTGAGCAACATTTAACAGGGCAACATCTATTGCACATTGAATTTGTCTTGTTATTAAAAAGCTTGTTAGTTCACCCTTTAGTACTGTCCTTAAATGTTGGCTCATCCTTTCCTTTTTTCCTGCTTCCATTTTCTTTGACATGAAGCTTTATTCACCAAATCCTAGCTGGAAAATCCGCTAGCTGGCTCGGGACTTGGGGACGGAGGGCTTTCCTGGTCATCTGTGGGCAGCTGGACGCGCTGCTCGTCCATACGCTTGGCCTGCACCCTCTGGATCAGACTGAAGAAGTCTTCATCAGGCACCGTAGGGGCATGGGGGCCCGCTTCTGGTGGGGAGCACCGTTGATCGTCAATTCTAGATGACTAGAACCAGAAAGAGCGCATACAGATTATTTAATATAGGATTCACATTTGCTAAAGAGGCAACCTACATAAACAATACAACAACCACATTTCAAATTTATGTGTGTACTAATGTGTCATTACCTGGCACTTAATAAGCATGTTGAAGAAGTCATCACTGGGCTCTTGATGATCTCCCTCTCCCACCAGGTGACCCAGGTTGTTATGAGTAATCCTCAGGCCCGGGAGGTTACCAACATTAACACGTTGGTCATCAAGACGTCGACTCTGAGAGCTGGCAATCAAATCAAACAGCTCCTCTGTCTGGGGGGAAGTGGTAATTGCAGGATCTAAAGAAAAAGGGGGGCGGAGATATCCCAGTGAGTGCAAATGATCTGGTAGATCCCAAATCTTTGCAGGGATGAGCTTTCAGCAAGAACAGAGATGCCATAAAGAAAGCAGTTAATCCTAAAATAGGACACAAAAGACATAAAAGGCATATGCTGTTGTCACAAACCTATCATCTCACTCAGGGATGACATGGAGGTTGCGGCGCCTTCTCTGTTGTCTCCATTCTGTGGCTCATCGAGGTGGCAGCGCTGGTCATCCATGCGGCTGCTCTGGAATTTGCTGAGGAGGTCAAAGAAGCAGTCTTCATCAGAGGGGTCACGGCCCAGCTTCTGCAACGAAAACAACAAATCTCTCACTTTAAGCACAAAGAGCGTCTGTCTTATCTGCCGAGTGCCTGTTTTCTCATTTTCTTATTTTTTGCTGCTCTGTCTGAAAAGATGCTTCCTGAAAGTGAGGCAACTAAAGTATTTCAAGCGCACTTGATTATGATGAACTGCTCGTACATTAAAAAACCATTATGTGCAGGTGACTTAATTAAGCTCAATGCCATTAGGAGTTGCATAATGAGGATTTTCAAGATAGCCAGCTCACGGAGGTGAAAAATAATCTGATTAACTCACAAGGGATGGCACTTCTGAAGAGACTACCTTGACCTACATACGGAATGTGATACAAGCACATAAAATGAGTATAAGCTGCAGCAAGTCATATGGCCCAATGACCATCAACTAGTAAAATCAGATGGAAATCTTTTAAAAAAATGTAGCAGCTGCCACAGAATTATTGAACTGTTAAACATCATTTTGTGTATCAGATCTAGTCAATGGGTCAGTCACATCGACTGAATGCCATTTTTGTGTTACACTGACTTCCCTGGAATCAGTCCTCCAGCAACAGCTTTCTGCTGTTTATTCTGAGATAACACCAAGAGGTTCTCTCGCTCATATCCTGCTGAATGATGCTTTTTTTCCCCTTTTAATTAAACACAGCCAGAGTCTTGATAATACACACAAGTTTGCAAGTGAAGTGGATAATTTATGTGTGAAACAAATACCCCGCGCTAGCAAAGCAGATGTGGAATTTATTATGTTTGAACAAGGCTGCTAAATATTGTGGCACTCGGGCTACAATATCATACCTCTGAAACAAAAGCTTATCTGCCAGACCGGATGGCAGCAGATGAAATGAGATGTTAACACCGTCTCAAATTAAAATTAAGCTGCTGATCCAGCGATCATCTGATGGAAAACTGCTAACAAACCAACTTTCACGCAATACATCACAAAGTGCTAGACTGAAAACAGAAACAACTTTCAGCTGCATATTTCACAAAATATTAAACTACAATCGTGCAAAAGGGTGGTGGGCTGCACTTCGAAATAAACATTTGTGCATAAATGATCACACTTGCTGCATTAACTCTCTAGACCCTCTAGAGCTAGGAAAATATGTGCTATATAATACTGTACATTTGTCAGAATAATTTTGAAAAACTTGTTACCAGCCAGTAATTTTGAATTTAATCTATTTAAGTTTATAAATTACAGCCTAATAGCAATTCTTTTTTTCTTTTTCAAAAGTTTGGCTTTTCATATCTCAACATTGAACAATCGACAACATTTGCTGCATTATATTTGTGACACAAAAGTGCCAGAGCAGGTTAACTTGGGTCAATGGCACTAAAATCAACACAAGCTGATGGGGTCTTCCTTATAAAAGTTTTCTGGTTGCATTCCTCTCCCACGCGCAGCAAATATAATAGACTTGTTCCAAACAATCTGTTTTGAACACCTTCAACACCGACTACTGAACAGAGCTCAAATCACTTTGCCTTACAGCAATATGTGAAGTAGGTCAGCAGACACCAGATTTCATGCATCTCTATTCTAAGAATCACGTGTTTTTCAACTTCTGCATTGAAAAAGTCAAACTGTTGTTTAAAATACACAAAAAGTTGTACTACAGATCATAAAGAAACGTATTTTTTCCCCAACTCTGCGGTATTTGCTCAGTGAAAACAGCAAAATATCTTTACATGCAGTGCAAGACAAACACACTAACTGCAAATAAAGGCACGCTTCGGTATCAAACGTGAAAAGAAAGTGAATACTCCCCGCTAAACCTTAGCGGGAAGCCGTTTTTCCAAGTTACAAAACAAAAAGTGAGACAACTTACCAGCAGCACTTCTTTGTCCTCTATCTACCCTTCTGTCTCATGTCTTTATGAGCTCTCTTTCTGTCTAGCGCTGTCCGCACGTCTGGCTCACACCTCCTTCTCCCCTACTTTCACCCACCCCTTTACATCACTCTCTGCTTTCCTGCTGCTCCTACTACCTACCTCTAATTTCCTTGCATTCTCCTCTTCCAGAGTTTTTTTAATCTCTACCAACCACTGCCGCCTCCTCTCTCTCTCTCCCCCTGTGTCTATCTTACTCTCTCTGTGCAGCTCTCCAGCAGGCCATTTTTGTCCTGTTCACTCACTGTGGGAAAACAACTCATTATGGAGAGCTGGGGGGGGGGTTGACCCTATGGGGAGAGTAGAGCTTCTCTGATCAAGGTCACATTATCAGCTAAGAGGGAGGGCTGGTATGGACAAAGGGGAGGAGGGGGAGGCAGCAGGGGTAGAAAGATGGGTGGAGGAGTAGAGTTATGAGTGAACTGCATGCGAGCACCCATTTCCATCAGAAGTCAACTACTCTCAGATGGCAATAAACACCAATATCTTCACTTACTTCTTACAAACTCACATGACTGGGCTCTATAAACACACACCCAATGTGACTTAAAGCAGTTTCCTCTCTGTCTCTATGTGGATGCTGTCGTTTGCTTCTCTGTATAGGCCAACTAATCAAGTAGGCCATATGGAAAGAACAAGAGAGAAAGGAACACGTGATGATGGTGAGAGAGGAAGAGAATAGACAGTAAAGATATGTGTGTGCTTGCAGAGAGAGACTGGGAGTACTGTCAGACCGGGACAGTGAATGATAAAAGGAAGTTCTTCCTAAAGTATAGATAGGTGACAAAATGAAAGAAGGACCTGAATCACTGACCCCCAAAGCGAGGGGGATCTGGTGACTTTGATATGCTTTGGTGGGCCTTTTGCTTGATGGTTTAGGTCTACTTCCCCCCTTAGAAGGAAGTGATTAACTTTTTCTATGATGAAATTTTTTAATCCTGATGGGAGAGGTTTCTTTCAGGGTTAACCTTCCCCTGTCTATAGAGTATGAAGAGGGAGGCCTTTGCCAGATTTCAACCAATGTAAGAAAAGCACTGCTTATTGAGTTCTGTGTCTTCTACATAACTTTTTCCCTGGTACATACAGCCTAAACTGCCTGTCAGTGCATTTATCTACTTTTTGCATGTTTCTGATTTTTAAAAACTAGAAGGACACAGACACTGCAGACATCCCCCACAGCGAGCACTCAGATCAAACATCATAATGATTTATTCATGAACAAAGCGTAACACCAATTAACATACACACCATGTACTTAAACCACAAAGGAGTAACACTAAACATCACTGAAATCCCAATTAGACCCAACACTCTCTCATATTCTACACTGCTGGTGTGCATTGCATTCACCTAGGGCCCCTTTCTCAGGAGTTTTTCTACTGATATGGCATTGCAAACCATCTGCTGGTTACTTAACAGGGAGGGAGTAAAGTTTGTCAGTCCTCAGTGGCCCATTAACAACCCGAGCCTCCAAGCATGGAGCTTGGCATGCCTGTTCACAAGCTACTGGTGAGGCTAAATTTGTGAAACAGTTTCCATTCAAGTGTCATTAAAACTTGGCCGGTACTTTTTGGGTAATCCCGACCCTATCAAGCAGGCGCAGTTGACACAAGCAACGAGTCGTCTGGTAATATTAAAAACTAAGCACGATGCAGCTTTTTCAACCGACTCGAGAGCTAAAGTTAGCTTATCTGCCTAGATACACTCGCTATGGCAAAATCAAATGTCAAACTGCATGCTGCAGATGTAGCATGGAAAAAAAAGCAGAAACACGAAATGCTTAGCAACCGAAGCAGAGGACTTTATCCCCTATGGTTTCATCAAAAATCAGCCATCCATTAACTTGTAGCAAAAACAAAGAAAAGTCGTAACATCTGCAGCTCACAGATACACAAATGGTCTTAAACGGTCTTAATGCTAGATTTGAAAATAGGTATGACTCAAGATCACCCACATTTACTTCTGTACTTCTATTTCTACTTCGCTGTGATAAACTGTTATTCCCAAAGCCCTGTAATTTTCACTCTTTTTTTTCCCGCATGTCACATTACTAATAACAACAATTAGCAGTGCCACAGAAACAAGGCATGATTAGGTGCTGTGGTGAGTCAGACAGAACAGCTGTGGGGGGGAAAACATATCCATTAAGAATCTAGTTTATATTATTAACAGAGAAGTCACTTTTACACTGCAGAAGACATCGTTTACCAAAGTTATTTGAAATTAATGTATTTTCTCCCTCATTTTTCGCTTTAAAGCAGAAGCTACAATGAACAGAAAAGATAAGAAAGCGAAGTTAAGTGAAACATTCACCATCTCACAGTCATCTCGCGCTTTCTACAAAATTATCTCCACCTTTACTCAAATGCACTGTAAGAGATTGCACTGAGGCTCAGGTGTATCTTAGAAATATGAAGCTGGTGAAATGAACGCTCATCAGTCCGTGTACAGTAAATGAGTGTCTGTGTTATACTGTAACAGAAATATCTACATTTTCTTGTTATTTCAAATGAGTCCATAAACAAAAATGTCTACTATGTTTATAAAGCTTTTGTGTACAGTTTAAACAAACTGTTATTCAAATGCTGGTAAAATCCTATAAGAAAAATCCTTGACATTTTAGGCTTCTTGAAACTGTAAAGCTTGAAATTAAATTTTAAGTTTTTTGTTTGCTGTTATCAGCAAAAAAAAAAAAGGGGGGGGGGGTTAAAAACAAAAAGAGACACAGGAACACACCTATACTTTAAGAATTTTCACATTGTATTCCATGAAATGGAGCTGGAATAACTACCGTTTAATTTTTGATACTTGTTGAAGATCAGGTTACGAGTGCAGTGACGAGGCAATAAGGATAAGGATATGATGTGAGGTCGGGAGTCAATAAGTATTTAATAAAAACAGCAACATTGAGGCCACTTACTGGCACTGGAGGTGGAACTTGCACAGTGATGTCATCAGTGTCCACGGGTGAGTCAAACCACAGCCTTTCCTCTGATGACTGGCTGTCAGAACAGCCTTTTCTTTTGCTAGGCTGCGACAGGTGACTCTTAGATCTCCTCGGTATACTTTCCAAGTCTTGGTTCTCACCATTCTGCATGAACAGAGCATGCTGTTAGAGGTGGATCACAATGTAGGCACATTTTCCTACAGTTGTTTAGAGACATGTTCAAATAATGGAAATCACCTTATCTGAAGAGTATTTCCACAGTTCTACACTGTCCATGCTGTTTCTCTTGGTGAATTTGGGTCTTGCTCCTACAGGACAAAAAAAAAAACCCAAATATTTAATATTGCAATTTTGGGTTTTGATCACTTAGACAGTCTTGAATCCCATTTATGAGCCGATTTAAGCTTGCAAGCTGCCCTTTGTTTATCTTTTATTTTCGCAGTAGGCTGTAATCTCGGCTGTGGTCCCATGATGTTCGGTGTGGATATGAGGCTTAGGCCGACCACTAGGCAAGCAAAGTGAATACCGGTAAGAGTCTGTTTGCCAGCTCTGCTCCAGAGGGAAATGTAGGACATGGGTGTGAATTTCTGCCTGGAGGATAGTTTATGAAAGCAAATATCACAGAGAAGCCAGGCAAACTGTTCAGATATTACAGTTTCTACTCACTCTATTATACAAGGCTCTGATGTCTATGTGAGCTGGTGGACCATTTGAGGGGACTCAATAAAACATTGTTGTTACTCGAGGCCTGATATGGCTTACGGACAACCCATCCTCCTGGACCACAGAGTGAAACAAGTATCTTTATCCTACCTCATAAATATGCACACACCACTTGTTTTCTGTCACATTTAGCCTCAGTGCAGATTTAACACACCGTCCCACGTGGAGTTTGTTTTGCATTTATAATTTTGTGCACACATAAAACATTGTAGTTAGCTTGCTCAGGCCCACACATACCACACAGAACTTGTGCAGTATGTGTGGGCCTAATCGGATGAGAAAAGCATTTAACTGCACATTTACTAACTACTTCAACAAAGTTCAGAATGATTCTTGTTTTTACAAGATTGTTTTTGATTATATATGTAGTGCTTAACCATGACCTGTCATAATAACAACAAAACAGAAATATTTTAGAAATCTGTAAAAAAAAAAAAAAAAAAATTAAATACAAATTTACTGAAGTGTATTTATGTGTATTTAAGTAACAAGTAACCAAATAATTTCATCACTAACATTTTCTGTTTAAGAATGCAAGTTAAACAGGTGTGATTTGGCATCTTAAGCAAATATTTTTTCCAGCTTTTTTGTAAAAATTTGTGGATAATAGTAATAATAATAATAACAACAATGATGATGATGGTTATTATTACATTTTACCATTAAAAACATAATTTTGATTACACAGTCTGCACATGCTAGCAGATTAACCACTAAAGAAACATAAAAATGTATTAATTTAATGCAGATGTGTGTATATATGTATATGTATGTATATGTCTTAGTGATAATAAGCACTTTCCACTGCTGTTCCATTTATTGTTTATGCATGCATATGTGTAAGAAGCCTTTCCTCTCAGCCTTGGTTTGCCTTTTTTCTGTCAGCTGAAGAAATAGACATTGCAAACCACATGAGGACGTTCACATTACATATCAGCGATAAGCAGTTTAATTTGGGGAGAAGCGATAGAGTAAATGCAGGAGAAAGGTCCTGTGTTCTGGATTGGTGCATTTATCTGTGAGAGAAGTTAGTATATGCACATACTTTGAAAAGAAGAAGCACCGTCTTCACACAATTGAGCAAAACAAGGAAGTTAATACTGAGCATAAACAACAGCATGCTAACAAGCTACATGATACAGTTTGTGCTCTGACATATTCCAGACACACACTTAGTTGCAAGGGATCATCTCTGTGGGACCTTTGCTTGAAAGTACCTGACCAAACCAATCAACAATTATATTTTTTAATATTTCTGAGCTATTTCTGTTTTGGGATCTTGTATTCATGTTACCATAGCAGGTTGTTTTTCATGTTTTATCTACTGTGACGATAATTTCCCAACTTTCGACATCAATAAAGTATATCCTAAACACAAAGTCCAGCATGACAACATTACCGTTCATGTAAAAAAAGCAAAAAAATAATAATTTCAGTGCTACCTTGCATCTCAAACTCTGAACTTGAGGGTGAAAGGTCGCTCTCAGTGACCCCCAGGGCCTCCATCAGCTGATCCACGTTCATCCTGGCTGTCAGTTCACCATTTCTATCTCCAATCTGCGGATGAAATCAGGGGCAAAGAGACAAAAAAAAATTACATAAAATGCAAGCGGCCTTTTTATATTGTTGCGCTTGTAAAGCTTTCTCACTTCTTTAGAGATTTCCAGGTGCTTTCTGGCATAGTAAAGCGCTTGTTTGTGGTTCCCTAAAGACACATATGCATTTCCCAGACTCCAACATGCACGGCCCTCTCCAACCCTATGAAAAAGTGAACGCACAACATTAAAAAAAAAACCTGTTCCTGTGGTCATTTGTTTGGTTTTCTTTCAATTGTTTTTAAACAATACCTATCTGTTAGCTCCTGCGCTATGTACAGGTGCTTGAGGTGATAGTCTATGGCCCTCTCATACTGCTGTAAAAGAGTGTAAGTGTTGCCCAGGCTGTAACACGCTTGAGCCTCCATCACCTGATCCCTCAGCTGCCTGGACAGTTGCAGAGTTTTCCTATAGGAAGGAAAATAATGGGATAAATAAGGGTTGGGAAAAAATGAAGAAAATAGAGGCTAACAAAGGAATGCGAGAAACAGGGTACATGAATAAGAATGATGATTAAACAGCTACATAGCTATTTCACTACATGTACTTAAGCATTCATCAGATATTCTAAGTGGTTAAAATTGTTTCATTTCTCCTTCAATCCACTAGATGTCAGACTGCACTCTTTCCTCACCTGTAGTACTCTGTGGCTGTGTTGAACTGTCCCAGGAATATCAGGGCATTGCCTAGGTTACTGTAAGCTCGCCGTTCAGCTGCTTTGTCCCCGAATTCTTTGGCAATGGATAATCGCTGTAAATGATGACAGCAACAAGTTCACAAATCAAGACTTTCAATTTCAATTGTTAACTTTAATGACAACAAGTTAAATCCTCCTTTCACTTTGCTTTACTTAGGTGCATTTGTTTTACTTGGTGCTCAGGCAGAGAGATTTTTCACAAGTTCATATTGGAAGCTCTGTAGGAAACCTTATTTCATAAGCAGAGGTGATGCTGCAGCAGCGGTGCATCAAATCAGCTCCTCTGATTCTCTCCATAGGAAACCTCTCCTCTGCAGCATACTGATAGATTTGTAACAGGGAAGGAAGGGGAGAAATCAGTTTCCCACTTGAGGAAAAACTTGGTTTTCAATAGAAAAATGGAGGGTGGAAGCCTGAAGCCATGCTTCCCGCTGATTCACCAAGAAACCAATTTTGTCCTTTTTCTGTATGAGTAGCCATCAATCTCTGCAAACTGTCCGCTAGGGCAGCTTTAGATGGATACCAAAGCACTGAAACACACACTTTTACACCACATTTACCTTGGTAAGACCAGCAAAAACATCTCTCAGGAACACCATCTGCTTCACTGACTGAAATTAAATGAACTGTACTCTACTCTGACTGAACTTAGAAGCTAAACGCTCAAGTCATGCAAATGTTTCTGATCTTATCTCAACACCAAAGCAAATTCGGTGCGGGCCACCTGTTTACTTCTCAGGTGCATTTAACAGATAAAGGAGGCTAAAATAAAGAAAATGTAGTTTCACTCAGTGCTGCAGTTCAAACATCCAGGATGTCAAGGCCACAACAGTAAGGACACAGGCCACCAAAACCACACCAGACAAGGCAAAACATATGTAAAACATTAGGTTCATCTTTTACATGATGTTGTGAAACAAATTTGGAAAATGAAAGAGCTTCATTCAAATCTTTGGGGTTTTTTGGGGGGGGTTTTTTGGGGTTTTTTTTTTCATTTTATTTCTGTCTGAAAATACTGCAAAAATACTGCAAAACAAGCAATATTTTTCAAAAGCAAAGGGAAACAAGAAAAGAACAACTTTATCTCTGCAAAAAGGGCACATAATATAAACAAACGTATATGCAACTACGCTTTATTCCTTTTAGAATTATTATTTATCCATTTACAGTACTGTGCAAAAGTTTTAGGCAGGTGTGAAAAAATGCTATAAACAAAGAATGCTTTCAGAAATATAAATAATTGTTTATTGGCCCCAAATGTACTTTGCAGCAGGACAACAACCCCAAACACACAGCCAAAGTCATTAAAAACTATCTTCAGCGTAAAGAACAAGAAGTACTGGAAGTGATGATATGGCTCCCACAGCGCCCTGACCTCAACATCATCGAGTGTGTCTGGGATTACATGATTAAGATCTATGGTTAGTTCTCCAAGATGTTTGGAATAACCTACCAGCCGAGATCTTTCAAAAACTGTGTGCAAGTGTACCTACAAGAATTGATGCTGTTTTGAAGGCAAAGTGTGGCCACACCGAGTATTGATTTGATTTAGATTTCTCTTTTGTTCAGTCACTTCATTTTGTTGATTGATGAAAAGAAATGATTAACACTTCCATTTTTGAAAGCATTCTTTGTTTACAGCATTTGGGTTTTGCACAGCACTGTATTCCATTCCACTTTGTAGGTCAAGTATGGAACTACGAGTGAGCAGCACATTATCTAAAAAGAAATGGGATTTATAAATTCTTTGACTTGGTGTAATAACGCGATTCTTGTAAACATTTTTATTGAAATATGTTTTATTGAGTTTCCTTACTTAATTTACAATCTATTAATACACCTATGAACTTCAACATCATTCACCCAAACATGATATGTATGTATCACACATGTATTATATGATGGGAGGCCACGGCTGCTGAACAGCTGCACAGTGAATGGTCCAAGCTGGAAAACTGCTCATATGAAATCATTATGGCTGATACCTCCCACCTCTGCATTACAGCAGTGCGATCTTGAAACTTGTGGATGAAATGTGGATTTCTTACCTGACGGTGGAACTTTATAGCCTCCACAAAGTTACCCAGCAGGTAGTGGGTGTTGCCCAAGTTCCCGTAGGCCCTCCCCTGAGCAGCTCGGTCGCCAAGCTCTTTGACCAAACACAGGTTCATCCTACACATCCAGGCACACACATTTAGTTGTTATTGGTTGTTGAACTTTTTTTTTGCATTCCCATTTTTATGCGTAATCAACAGAATTGAGTCTACTATGCGAGGTATGACATGAGACAACAGCTAATTAATTGATGTTGATATAAAGCAATTACTACATTCATTATAGCTAGAAAGAAACCAAAAAAGTGAAATATTAATTCTTTTTTTTTTTTCAAATGGGCTCTTTAAGTTACCCAGGAAGATGAGCTATGTTGCACACACTTCTATCTGTAAAATAGTGTTTTTTCAGTGTACCCTTTTTCTTATGTATTGGCCATATTTTCAGAAACACCAAATTGGCACTAACTGCATTTGGTTTCTTTTTAATGTCATTTACAGCCTGCCCGTGAACATTTCAGCCCATAATTTATAAAGAAATAAGATGATGTGTTGCAATATAATCAGTGTGTTGTACTTCTTGTGTTGAAAGACAACACTTCCTTTATCAAAGTTCAACTGAAGACTTTATGCTGTAAAACCTGCATTACAATAAGTTTAGGCCAGTTTAGCCCCAATTCAACCCTCTCAACATGTGGAGGAGAAACCGGGTCAAGGACCTCATCATGTTTACCTAATTGGCACACATTATTTAACTTATTTGCTCTTATCTTGGCATATTATTGACAAAAATCTTGGTAAAATAACAGCAGGAGAGTAGAAATTAAAATATTTGATAGTATGGTGAAAATAAAATGAAACCTTCATTATCACAGTGGTGGTACCAAGACTGTATTAAAACAGATTTAAAAAATCTTTTCAAAGTCGCCCTCACCCCAGTCATAAAGACGGTAGCACAGTGAGGGCTGTGACGGTTGCTTTTAATCATCAGGGACTCAAAAGTAAATTCAGTGTTACACACATGTACACTGTTATTCTGTTTAAAATGAGTAAGCAGCCAAACCAACTCTCGGCCACTACTTGACAAAAAAGGGAATTGACAATATTCAAAAATCATCAATAGTACCACAAAACGCAGCAACATTCGTATGTCAGAGCTACTGACTACTGTGACTCTGGTAGCTGTTCTATACATTCATTTGCTCTACAGGCATAAAACATACTTACTCGTAAAATCCAGTAGCCCTTTGCAGTGTGTCTCTGACATCAGGAGGCAGGTCCCCTGGTTCTTGGGTGCAGCCCCATAACTGCTGTTTGCCCTTTGCGTGAAACACGTTCCCCATGTTATACAGTGCTCTGGCCTCTCCAACCTTCAGGACAGTGAAGAAACACAGGCTGCCACTATCTTTTTCCGAGAAGATTTTCATATTTCTGTTTGTGTTGGTTTGTTTGGATATCCAAATATATGTACATAATGTTACCTTATCGCCCTGCTCTTGAGAAATGTCCAGGTGTCTTTGGCAGCAGACAGCGGCCTCATCGAAACGCCCTAATACTTTTAAAGTGTTACCGAGGTTGCCGCTGGCCTTTCCTTCTCCAATTCGGTCTCCTATTGTTCTGTGGAGGAAAGACATCTTTGGCGATTAGTGGCAGAGTTAAAGACCAAGTTATTGCTCGGAGATCTTGCACCATTAGAATCAAAATCACTGCTTTTTTGAGACCCCACTAGTTAAACATTTAGATCAATCAGTGATCTACACAGCTCTTATTTTAAAAATAAATAAATAAAATAAAAAATACACAATAAGCTTGGTGTACCACAAACTAAATATCACTGCAATTAATATCTACAACAGACCGTATCTGATTACTGTCATCTGGTGAAGAAAACAAAGTGAATCAAGGAAATCAAATGTCACTTTAAGGTTGTGGTTTTGGTCACTGTTTCTGTTTTCCAAGACTGTTTTTTCTGGACCTAAAATGACCATCCACATCAAGGAATTTATAAGATATTCAGTCATATTGCTGCTATATTACATTTATTCAACAACGGGCTATTGAACATAACTGATTTCCTTTATTTGTTATACATGTAAAGTTATACACAACCCTAGAGAGTCACTGACAATGCATTATAAAGCATAACAAGCACTAAATAAAGCACCATGTCCACTAATTACTTTAGGCTTAATCATGCATCGCTGAATCGGAACTTGTCAACACGATTAGTTCCTCTCTGGTTGCTATGGCCTACTTTCTCTTCATGCTGGAAGTGAGAAATAATTTCCCCATTGTGTCGTTCTCCTTTTTTCACTTTCACACTTTGAAACTGAGCAACTAAAAGATGGTATGCACTAAGTGCTTGCAGTTACTATATGCTCTTATGAACCTGCTACTGCCACATTGTTTCATTATGTTATTGTCCTCTAGCAGGCAGCCCAGATGACCCACAGGAAGCCACGAGTTATCCATTTAGCTAATGAATAACCATTAAAATATTGCAACAACAGTTGCCTACTTCCGAGGACCAAGCCCCAGTGGCCCTGGTGAGACTGTAATGTAACAAGGTAAATCTCCCTAGGGTTCTTAATCAGTTCCCTGCAGGAGTACCAGCTGCACTAACTGCAGGAGACCAGATTACTCACAAGCTAAATATCCAGTTGGTATTTGTCAACTGTTACTACGTAAAAGTCTCCTCACTTTTTTTTTTAATTTCTTTGTCTGAAATTCATGAAGGTTTCCATGCATCAAATCATCTAAAAAAAAAAGGGTGGAAAAGGCTGTTTTCCTTTTGAACTGTGTGTACATCAAATAACAGAACGTAGCATATGATTCCTGCATACTGGTGCACAGTCCTCTTACATGTCCGTGTGATGGATGCAGTATGCATGCAGGGTTTATTGATCTGTGTATAAGTTCCCTTATCGTAAAGATGCAGTTCTTCTCAGCTAAAGATTTCAAATGTGAAGTTTATTAACCATTTACAGTGCAGCAAACAGATTGTTGAATAAGACTCCCAAGCAGCTCAAAACAAGCAGCACAAAGCTGAGGTGAATGTTTTACTCATAGCTTGTGCACATTGCTCACCTTGCTAAGGTAAGGTCATGTCTGTGGTATTCCAGGGCTTTGCCATACTCCTTAAGGTAGAAGTATGCATTGCCCAGCTGGCTGTAGATGGCACTGAGGGTCTTCAGGTCTTCTGTGCCGACCTTTACGGCTGCTTCGAAAAACGCTGTTCCCCCTTTGAAGTCCCCAGCCTTGCATAGCCGCTCTCCTTCCAAGGCCAATTCTAAGCACGAGGCCTCCATCCTGCAAGATACACGCATATAATAAAGTCATGAAACTAATGAAATAAAAACATTAGCCCTATCACAGATTAGGACATACAGTAAACATGGATACCATTACAGTCGCAGTGAAATATACTTTCACAGAGACGCAGTATCACCATGACAACAAGGTCTGTAATAAATTCTGTGGACTGTTGCCTTAGTAACTGAGTTTGAGCTCGATGACGAACACCTTGAAAAGGTAATACACTTTTAACTGCTTAAATCAGTTAACAGCCTGATGTTCGAAGGCGTGCCGTTCTCTTGCATGTTCTGAGATTTTTATGAGGATATGAAACAAAATAAGACAGAGACAGAGTGTCCCACCCACACCAGAGAGAAAACATTTGAAAAACAATATGGTTCTCTACTGACTGCAATCTGAGACAATGTCATCCATCCACTTCCTTAACTGCTTATCTACTTCAGGGCTCCGGCAGCTTAAAGCCTACCCCAGCTGTCTCTGATGAGAGCAGGGGTACACGCTGGATAGGATGCCAGACCTCTGCAGGGTTAATGCATGAAGTCTATGAAAATCTGGTATTTCTGAACAGCTAAAGGGGTTAGTATTTTGCCCTATGTTGCACTCCATGCCTTAAAGTTAACAAAACTATGTTTCAGAGATTGAAGTTGGCTGCTGAGCTAAAATACAGCAAAACATCTGTGGTGTCCAGTCAGAACTCACTGTAAGCGTACAACAAGGCTTCATGAGTGAGCTATATCCAGAAGTATACACCCTAAATGCATTGCATAATCCAGGATAAACAAGACCAGACAGTTTAGTAGTAACACTAAATTCCAGATAAAGTACTAGAATGTAGAGATAAGCAAGGATTATCCTTGCATCTAATCAAAAGGCTTTGCAAAAGGCTCCATTCAAAGGGTAAAGAGTCGTACCATTTGCAGTTTTCTGCATTACAGCTTATTTATTGTCAAATCGAAGACGCGAATGCATCGTCATTTTTGAGGCAAAAAAGATTTACTGTGACGTGAACAGTCATTTAAAGCAGCTGATATTACACTATGTTCTAGTCAAATTTCATAACATTGCCCTAATATGGAATGTATGTGCTCACCAAGGTCATTTTGGTTTGTAAAAACTTGACGGGTTACTTTTGAGTTTTGTTTTGGGTTTTTTTTACAGTACCTGTGTTTTTGCTTGGTCCTTGTTTTGTCCACATACACCTGGAGCTCCAGAGGTAAAGGCTTTAGCATAGCTTGAGGTCGGGGTCCACAGTGGACAAGTCTACACACGGCTCTCTCTGCTCCAGTCAGAGGACAAGGCTCAGATGCCATGATGGTATTGTTAAGTAAAACTAACTTTATCAGAAAACTCTTAAATGAACTCTGTAGAGTTCATTTAAGTACTATGCTTACAACTAAGAATTCCTCTCACACTTTAACAAACTGCGGTCTTATAAAGTTTATATTTCCCAGCTTCAATAAAAACCACCATATCAGCAACATTACAACAAACCTGGACACACTCCAATTGTAAATTCTAACCACAGTCCAAAGCCAGCCGAGAAAAATGTGTGCTATTCAAGTCCTCAAGATCGCTCCAAAACTACACAGTGAAGCAACCTGCAGACAAAACAGTCCAGAGGGAATTTGAGATCATTCCACACGAACGTTGAGCTCCAAAACAAGTGAATTTCTAAGACGTCACAAGTTTACAAGTTTATGTTTTATTAATCCAGATGATTTTAATCAAGTTAAGATATCCATTGTTGTTATGTAATTCAGTTCCCGCTACTCCCAACAGAAAATTGTGCTCATCTCTAATCCTCTTCAACTTCTCCTCAAGTCTGACCCGGAGACCAGTTGTTCTATCAGGTTTTAAAAGAACAGGGGAGCATGATGACAGACCATTCTGGGCAAGAGTAGAGGAACAGTCAATGATTACAAAGTGAATACCTTATATCTAAGCTTGACCATTGCTCCAATGAGAGGCAGAGAGAAAGGATGAGAGAGACAGGGATGGCTAATCCAATGCCCTGCACCTCCTCAGTAGAGACAATACAGCACAGTGAGTGGCCTAAACAAATCCAACTACATGCTGACACTAGCATAAACATTATTAGGTCACCAACCGAGACAGATGACACTGTGAGTAAATAAGACCTAAGGGACGTATTAAGTAAACTTATTTTCACTAATAAGGAAACACATGTTAACTTTCTGTTTTTAATCTTTAGATTAATTTTATTTTAAAGCTATAAAAAACACTTCCTGCATGAAAATCTTGCCACTATGACACACATGTCCAACTGCTTTCAAAGCACAGAAAGCACAACTACATTAACAAGTGCCCTACTTAACCAAGACAATGTCACAGGGGCAGCAAGCAAAATACAAGCTAAACAAGGGATTTACAAGAGATCTCTTCACTACAGCGTTGTTTTCCCCTTTTATTAAATATCAATCTATACAGTAACATGGAAATATACATAGGAATTTACATTTAAGTGGGGTTTTTTCCTATTTTTGCCGTCTACATGTATATAATAAATGCTATTTTTGCCTTTTATGGCAAAATAACATGATAAATTGAATGCATATAAATTACTTATTAATGTTAATTCTCAGTGCACAATGTAATAAAGAGAATTCAATAATTTTGATTAGTTTCCTAGAAATCTTGCTTTCAGTATGCAATTCCTCCTGCAACTGGATACAAACTTTCATTGGAAAATGTAAACAGGAAGAAAATGATTATTTAATTTTTCATAGCTGAAGTGGAGGGCAGTGGAACAACCACTATAACTGTATAAACTATATTAGGAAAAAGGAAGGTGAAGAGAAGAATGAGTCGAAACCAAAATTAAAGCATGAATTTACACCAAAAGAGTGTTTATTCAATGGAGCTCTGCGGCTGAAGATCTTTCAAAAGCTGGTGGCATTATTTTTTACAAGATCCTTATAGAACTCAACCCACTACAAGGGATTGGAAGTTCAGGATTGTCGGATATATATATAGTTTGCAACCATAAGTCTTGTTCTCTTAAGGTAGACTGTGTATTTTGCTCGTGCCTGCTAGGAGGTGGCTCACTAGAAAGTACCCATTGTGAAATTAGATACTACTTTACAAACAGGAGAAACATGCAAAGCCAACCATCGAAGAGTCTTGGAACGTGCAATACTGAATTGCAACAAAAGTCATCAGCGGTCTAAAAATACAAATACTAACAGGGTGGCACAATGATGCAGTGGTTAGCACTGTCACCAGTCCATTTCTATTACCCAGTCTTGTTTAGAAATTAAGGTTTTGTGTGAAAACCTCGATGACATCGAAAAATCAAAAATGCATTAAATTAGCAAACTACTAACAATTAAATTGTGAAGTATTGTTGGTTGAGGTTCCACAGCTCTTTGTCTTTCAGCTAACATTAACAAATTTTGCTGTTGTTGCAGAAAAACATGCTGCTAGAGCAAAAGCGGGACTCTCATCACCTTTTTGTATGGCTGGCAATAACAAACAAAAGTCCAGTCTCTGGAATGTGGATAATCTAGTTCCCACCGTAGATAACAGTCCTTGAAAGTGTATAACGTTATCTTCCTGGCATACATAAAACAGCAACAGCTACTTCTTCAACAGTGGAGGAAAACTTGCCAGCTCTGTAGTCCTTGCGCCCTAAAATGAATTTTGCACTAGCCATAGCTAAACAACTTGCTTAAAGACAGACCAGCATCAGAATGTGCCAAGGCTACCCTTCAGTGCAAACAGAAAGGTGGAGCAGAGCCTAACAGCCATAGCCAGAGGGATGAAAGGCATAAGGTTGGTGCATATACAAAAGAATACAGAGGCGATTTACTTAAAGCTGATCAGTTATATCAGCGGCATGTCAAACTCACTTTGACTCACTGTGAACACCCACCCTCCCGTCAACATTTCTATAGTAGATAGGATCTGTAGAGATAATGAAAATACAGGTGAAAGTAGGGCTGGGCCATATCACACCGTTCACGGTAATACCGGTATAGTGTTAGGCAATGATAAGAAAATGAAATATTGCGATAGAATATGGGTAAAACGCGCATGTGCAGCAGTGCCTTTGTTTTTATATGCACATGGTGGAAAAAGCGAATGACAAGGGCAAAAGCGGATTGTTGAATGAAACAGATGAACCAGAATTGGTTCGTAAAAATGCTGCAACTTCAGTGGTGTGGAACTAGTTTGGCTTTCGTCCGTCAGATACACACAAAAGCACAATTTTTGGTAAAGCGTGGAAGCGGGCCGTCGCTATTACCGTGTTTTTCAGAAAATAAGGCACACTTAAAATCAATCTTTTGATTTTCTGAAAAATCGACAGTGCCCCTTATAATCCGGTGTGCCTTGTGTATGAATCCTGGTTGTGCTTACTAACCTTGAACCGACTTTATATGGTACACAGTGCTCGAAAATCTGTCAAAAGATGTTTTAGTACGACTTTGACAAGCTACGAAGGAGCACCGCTTGATGGATTGTCGGAGCATTATGGCTACCATAGTCGGGAGCCTCACGGAGTAATATGTACTGTGCTTCAACATAATATTACCGTATTGTGTGTATAACCTCTTAAGTTTTGTGGATATTATACATGTTATGCTCAGGATATCTCAGCCTGTTTCCAATGGAAATGTCTTTCGGTTAAACTGTCAGCAAGGAATTTGCATAAAAAAAAAAAAACAGCTGCTTGTTTCAGTGAAAATACACTGAGGGTTTTTTGCACTAATAAAGTTGCGGAGTTATGGTCTCGAGTCAATTATATCTCGGTTATATCATTATCGCAAATTTTTAAATATATATTGCGATAAATATTTTTGGCCATATTGCCCTGCTCTACTGGTGTGCATGGTCTGAGGAAGTTCTGGTGAACATTTGTTAATAACTTTGTAATGAGACAAATATGTGCGCATTTAATCACAGAGTGTTGACAAATTCATGTAAGAAGATATTGATGTAGCACAGATTTGTGCATTAAATGTTTGAATGGACTGCTTATGCAGGGATTTGTGCATACAGAGTGTTTGAAAATAATGCTAAGAGTAGGTGGGAGGCACCGGCCAAAATGTTGATCTACCCAATCGTCAGTGCTATTGTGGTTGGATGAGAATTCAATTTATGGCTGGAAGTCACAGATGTGCAAGAATATGAGAAGAAAAACAAAAAGACAGCAAGTCTGGTCAGAGACGGTGACGGGGGCCTCAGTTTGTTAAAACACAGCCGAAGGCTTGCATTGTAAAACTGTGGCTGTGGAAAAGGGTGTTGCCTTAATAATGCCTCGCAATATTTTTAAAAGCTTGAGCAAAATCCAAACTCTGCAGTTGTAAAGTTGGAAGTCAACACATCCTCACTCACTTTAATCAAAGTCTGCAAACTAAACTTCAAGAGGCAGCCTGCGGGCTGACTCACACACAAAAAATAAAGAATAGAGGGGGGAAAAGTTGAAGCAAACAAAGAGCAAAATTTCATGGCAGGATTTCCACAAAGTGACATTCATTCTTGCCATCGTTGCGGTCGGAGTAAGAAGAATTTGTGCCAAACAGTCGGCCATTCTCTCCTCTTATTACCCCCTCTAATTGTTCTGTTTGGGAGACACTCATCTCATAATAGCCTGCTTGTGGTCTAACAGAGACAAACTCCCAGCGCTGTTACCATGGCATCAAGGAGTACATGTAGCACACTGGGCAGGTTTCAAGAGTAAGTAAGAGAGGCAGAAGTGAGGTTAGAGTGCAACAATGTCAGTGGAAAACAATATAATGCTAATAATAAATATTTGTCAAATAATTAATTATAACCTATATAAATGTGAAATAATGCTTCATCATTAGGCTAAAGTGTAAATGCAAGTTTAAAAAAGCTCAGAAGACAAAGACAGGGAGTAAAGATGAGACATCCAAATGTTTACGTTGGTGGAGGTTTATGGAAAGGTGACCTTCAACACATAAACTGGTCATGGCTACACAATGCCTACAAAGACGGGGACAATGCGCAGTAGCTCAGATGTTAAGCTTGAGTTGTAAGTCTAGACTAAATATACACTGTAGGTGCACTGGAGCAGCACGCCTTACGCCATAGCCTGAGCTGTAGCTTTATGTGCAGCTCCCCCGGAAATGTAAGTATACACAACTATCACAGTACTGTAACAACTATTACTGGTCCATTTGGAATTTACGATTTAAACAGAGCATATTGATTTGTGCAAAGATACCGCCTCTGTGCAACAAAATGTAACAGTAACAGACTGTAATAAATCCTCCTGTCCATTAAAAACAATCAAATTAGGATGTGTTATCGTTGTTTGTCTCACTGGACTCATGCTTTTGGCTTGCAAACTTGATGCTTTTTAGTAATCGTAACTGGCATTCAGTTTAAACAGGCAAGGCTTGTTGATTCGGAGATCAGATTGAACTTTTTCCTAATAGTGTGACCTGGAGGTGTGGATCGAATGGGAGGGAGAGCCTTCAGTTTTCAGGCCCCTCTTCTGTGGAACCAGCTTCCAGTTTGGATTCAGGAGACAGACACTATCCCTACTTTCAAGATTAGGCTTAAAACTTTCCTTTTTGCTAAAGCATATAGTTAGGGCTGGACCAGGTGACCCTGAATCCTCCCTTAGTTATGTTGCAATAGACATAGGCTGCCGGGGGATTCCCATGATGCATTGAGTTTTTCCTTTCCAGTCACCTTTCTCACTCACTATGTATTAACAGACCTCTCTGCATTGAATCATATCTGTTATTAACCTCTGTCTCTCTTCCACAGCATGTCTTTTATCCTGTCTTCCTTCTCTCACCCCAACCGGTCGCAGCAGATGGCCGCCCCTCCCTAAGCCTGGTTCTGCCGGAGGTTTCTTCCTGTTAAAAGGGAGTTTTTCCTTCCCACTGTTGCCAAAGTGCTTGCTCATAGGGGGTCATATGATTGTTGGGTTTTTCTCTGTATCTATGAAGCACCTTGAGGCGACTTATGTTGTGATTTGGCGCTATATAAATAAAATTGAATTGAATTGAATTGATTGTACCTACAGTAGCTTGCATTCACAATAGCTGTTATGCTGCAAATAAGCTCTACCAACCTTTGCATAGACTCGCCTGGTTCTGACATCTTCTTCCTTTTCCTCGTTGCTCAATATTCAGTAAAAGCAAGCGTTGAACATTTACTACTAGCTCTAAATCCAACAAGGTCACCCTCACTTTCAGACACCACTGTTTCATGACCACATTAAAAAAAAACCTCAGTGGCCAAATCGAGTGTAATGTTACTTCAGGTAATCGCTCAGCAGATCAGCTGACCTCAGTGTCTGCTCACAGCTGATAGCGCAGCTGATTCACTTCTGTACATTCAAAGCATGCCCACCTCCAAGCTGTGTCTGACTTCATCAGTGTCACATCTGCTGTCTTCGATCACGTGTTGGCTTTTGCTGCTGCTCTCCTGGTACAGAGCAGAGTCCGGAGGACATTTAAATAGCTATTCAACACTCATACCTGAGATTCTTATCAGGCATGTAGTTGGGAAAGCAGTAAACCCATTAGGATACACGCTGCTTCGGAGTAGTATTTAATTACAACTGGTATGTGACATCTCAACCAATTAATGGCCAGCAATCAAATTTACTTGGATTATATTTCATCATTAAAATCAGTTATACTTTTGTTTTAGCTGATTTAATTCAATTCATGGATTCTTATTTCATTTTTAAAGGCCTATACGTCCAACACTGTGAATCTTGGTTAAGCTAAGAAACTGTGCACTCAGTAATCCAGCCATAATTACAGAGTGCCATGGCTAGTTGTCAGGGAAACCAAAGAGAAACTCTCTAGGAATGCTTTCCTTCCTCAGTGCATGTCACTTTCAGTTAAAGCTAGACTCTCTCCTTCTCTCCTTTGTCTAAGTCTCTTGTGAAGCTGCATTTTTACTCTCTGCATGTTCTGTTTTCTAGAGCCAGGTTGAATAGTGCTACTTACACACACACACACACACACACACACAGTAGGCCATACGAAGGGAACCAAGTGCTGCAGGGGCTATGAAAACAAAGCAATGAACACGGCAATGATGTTAGTCAATCTAAGATGAATTTCAGTTAGTAACTACTGTCATTACTGACAGAAAGACAGGCTAGATTTAAAGATTTCAGAGTAAATCCCTTTTTCTAACTTGCTTTTTTACGACACAAAGTCACAATTTTATAGTCAAATCATTTGTTACACGGCAACAGGTGCTGAGTCAGACATTTGTAATTTAAGTATTAGTAAACGTTTCAGTTTTCAATCGCAAAAATCTCGTATAGGTTCAGGGAAAATACCATTACATGAAGTTTATGGAAAAACAACAGTACTATTTCCAAAGCTTACAAAACCGCAGCAAATAGTTGTTTTTGAGGGTTTAATTCAAAGTGCTTTGGTACTGAAAAAGAGCTTGTGTAAGTCTTGTCTTATTTTTTTTAGATTTATTTATTGAATTAATGCTAATTATGTTTTGTGGCTTTTTTGTTGTTGTTTTTCTCTTTCTTTTTTAAAGATATAAAGATTGTTTTGTTCTCCTCAATCATCACACACACACAAACACACACACACACACAAGTGGACAAATAGGCTTTAAAATACTCATCTCTATAGCCGGACACGTTCTCATTTTAGGAAGAAAACAAAAGGATTTTACAGGATGGGTCAGTTGACAAATAAATCCTAAACATAACGTCCCCTTTGTGCTTGCCTAAGCTTTTTGGAGTTTAAAGATAATACACACACACACACACACCAAACCGTCATGTACAAAGGTCATGTGTTGAGTTAAATAGAGGAAAACCTATCACAGCTCTAATAGCAGTCCTACCCACCCCATGTGTGTGTGTATGAATCTTATGTTTATGTTGGCAGAGCATATGATAACCTTGCAGGGTTTGTGAATGTCACTCCTGCAGCTTGACAATAGTAAGTAAGTTTAATTGTTGTTTTCTTAAAGTATCTAACATAATCACTTAAGATATATAT